CCCAAAAGACAAGGGTCTATGGAATAAGGGACCTGACCTGTTGTCACCACAGTCAGTGTTGGCATTGCAGATATCAAGGGGAAGCTATTTCTGAAGATGATATAGTTTACACTCTGACTGTGAAAACAGATCAAGTTATATGGGTGTAAATCCTGGGAGAGGAAATCCCGGGGCAAAATAACCTCTTAAAACCGAAATAAGTCAAAGGGGGGAATAAAGTTTAAAGCCCGTTTATTGCTTACAAACTGCAGTCCATCGCTGTCTCTCTCCCCCAGCTCTGGAAGAAGCAAGCAAGCAAGCAAGCCCCTCCCCTTAACCTCTCAGGTTCAGACACGCCCTCGGTTGCCCAGGTAATTACCCATTGACATGGAGATGAGCTTCTCTCCACCCCTGAGGATATGCAATGAACCAAAGCCAGGCGAGATATTCTGGAAATGTTACAATTTTACCCACAATGGGCGGGCGTCACTGGAAGTGGGTCTGGCATCTACCAGGCCAGTGTGTGGAACATCGGGGTCCCGAAAGGATGGTAGAACTTGAAGCAGTTAGTTGAGGCTGAGGAACCAAGTCTTCAATGAATGTGGAGGAGCAACCCCAAAGCTACTAGATGGCAACCACAAGGATGGGTAGAGGGGTATGTGGCAAAATGAGTTTCAAAACACAAGGGAGTTTCACCCCACCAAGGATGGCAAGGCAGTGTTGAGGAAGAAGCAACAAGGAGCTGGGGTAGCAATGCCAGCTTCTTGGAAAATGAGCAGAGTCTGCACTCAGCAGGAACTGCAGGGGAGACCCAAGTCTCTGAGAAGACCAAGAAATCATTTTAAAGGAGGGAACACTTTGTGAAAAGGTTAGAGGCAGAGAGGAGTTTGTCAGGAAACAAGTCTTCTAGAATCCAGGAGAAAGGATGCTTGTGAAAGAGGTTGGCATTGATGGACATACTTAATACCTGCCATACATTTAAGATTCCCAGCCACATTTCAGCACTTCATTTCCTTTATACAGCCAGGGCAGCTGTTATGACCCCCTTTTTATAATGAAGAATCTGAGGCTTCGGGATGTGAAGTCCTGTTAACCAAAGGTACCTTCATTAATACGTGTAGCAAAGCTGAGAACAGACTTCACCACGGCATGCAGGGCCTTGTTCTTATCTCATTCTATTAATCTGCAAGGCTAACAGATTAAAGATATTTTATAAATACAAAGGGAGAATTATGATAACTATTGTACTATTAATAAAATAGCGAAAATGGGAGAAAAATTTAAGCAGAAAAACAAATTTGGTAACAGGATTCAGATTGACTGATTTGCGTGGGACAAGAATATGTCCACATTCACGTGTTTATTCACAGCCTACAACTAGCATAGCACTGAGGATAAAAAAGAGATGAAAAAGAAGTCCATCATTAAGTTGATTGCTTGGGTTCTTTTACAGTCTTTTAGTTTGAAGAATTCTACCTTTCAGAACAGTTGAAAAGCTGTCTGTCCCCTGGGAAACACAGCCTTCACTGAGGTTTAAGGCGCTCCTCCGAGACAAAGCAAAAGTAAGGCTGAATGAGCTGGCCCTCTTGAAAGGGCCAATACTATATTCCTTTTGCAGGTGAAGAAATTTGAAGAGCAGAAAGGACAAGTAATTAATCAAAGTTATTCACCTATTAGATGGTAGAGTTAGAACCCCTTCCTAGACTTCTAAGTGAAATTCCAGTTCATTCTAATCACACTTAAACCAAATATCCTTCTTCTGGAAAGTGTTCGCCAATTCCAAGTTCTCACTGACTTAAGAAATTCTAGAAAGGGATTGGTCCTGAGATGCCTCCTGACTTTCAAAGCTGAATCAATACCCAGACTCTAAAAACACGTTGGAATGTCATTGATGCCACTGAATTGTACACTTAAAAATAGTTAAAATGACAAATTCTATTTTATATATATTTTACTACAATTTGTTAAATTGATAATGTAATATTCCAAAAGCCATTGAATCGTACATTTTAAGCAGGTTAATTGCATGGTATGTGAATTTTATCTCAATAAAACTGTTCTGGAAAAAAAAATAACAGGTTGGGATTGTTAAGCTTAAGTCCCAAATCTGAATTGTAAATATACCTCAGGATGGAAAACTGGACAGAAGGGAAATCAGAATGGTAATCTGTCTCCTACATGCTCACGCAGGTCACTGGAAGCTACTCTTCTAAAAATGGTGGGAGGAGGAATAATGGGTGTTTTTTTGCCAACAGATTGCTTGAGACTGTGCTTGGGAAGTAAGTTTGTGAATGCCATACTCTGAAGGGGTAGTTTTCACTTGGCCAGTTTTTCTGGTTCATTTTACATGTTTGTTATGGAAAAAGTTAAATATATAGAAAAGCAGACATAAAAGTATAACCACCCAGCCTCAACAATTATCAACCCATGGCCATGCTTATTTCATCTATATCCCCACCCATTTCCCCCAATCCTGTATTAACTTGAAGCAAATACTAGACATCCTATCATTTCATTAGTAAATATTTCAGTGTGACTCTTTAAAAAATAAGAACTTCAAAACACAAAAAGTGAACAATTCTTATGTCCATCAACACAAGTGGATAAACAAAATGTATATATGAGACAGGGACCATGGGTGTAGTCAGAGTAGGGTGAGGGTCTCTGCAAAAAAGCAAGGCAGAGTATTTGCAGTCAGAGCAATGTAACTACATGCAAGGAAACCCAACTCTGTGTTAAACATCCAGCTCTAGAGTCACTCTTCAGTGAGATCAGTTGGTGTACCCCAGATAAAGAAGAGTGGCACATGTTTATTTTATGCTAATCATTTATAATCATGTGTAAGATTCACTTCAACATGTTTAAAGGCCCAGGCCTATGTGCTGTCTTTCCTCCTTCAGATCTAACGAGGTGATTTTGCAAACTGGGCAAACTAATTTAGCTGCAGGCCCAGCCATAACACAGTAAAAGGCAAGAAGGGTTCCACCTTAAAGATAAGACTGCACTTAACTTACTCTTTAGCAAACATGCCTCAGCCCACCTTGGGGTCAGGCTGAGCAGGTGGCCTTGTTTCATATGCCCCCAGACCAAGATGCTGGTATCTCAGGGAGAAACCAACAGAGCAGGAGGTTACTTGTATCAAGTTAATTGTAAATATCTGGGGACCACTTAATAAGTCCACACCCCAAAGCTTTTTTTCACGTTTTTGAAAAATCCTCAACTGCCTATAAAACCCCCTGGTCAACGCACCACTATGGACTCTCTTGTCCCGTCCTTGCGTGAGTTGCGCGCTCTGTCCTTTTACTTTATTTCTAAATAAAAGCCTGTTCCTTGCTCTCCTACCTTCAGTGTTTGTGAAGCTCATTCTTCGGCTTCGTAAACAAGAACCCTGGCATCATATACATACAGTAGAATATAACTCGGCCTTTTTTTTTCATTTGTTATCATTAATCCACAATTACCTGAAGAACATTATGTTTATTAGACTCCCTGCTTCACCAAGTCCCCCCAAAAATCCCCATTACAGTCACTTTCCATCACCATAGTAAGATGCTGTAGAATCACTACTTGTCTTCTCTGTGTTGTACAGCCCTCCCCATGCCCCCCCCCACATTATACATGCTAATGGTAAGGCCCCCTTTCTTTTTCCCTGCCCTTATCCCTCCCTTCCCACCCATCCTCCCCAGTCCCTTTCCCTTTGGTAACTGTTAGTCCATTCTTGGGCTCTGTGAGTCTGCTGCTGTTTTGCTCCTTCAGTTTTCCTTTGTTCTTATACTCCACATATGAGTGAAATCATTTGGTACTTGTCTTTCTCTGCCTGTCTTATTTCACTGAGCATAATCCCCTCTAGCTCCATCCATGTTGTTGCAAATGGTAGGATTTGTTTTCTTCTTTTGGCTGAATAATATTTCACTGTGTATATGTACCACCTCTTCTTTATCCATTCATCTACTGATGGACGCTTAGGTTGCTTCCATTTTTTGGCTATTGTAAATAGTGCTGCGATAAACGTAGGGGTGCATCTGTCTTTTTCAAACTGGGCTGCTGCATTCTTAAGGTAAAGTTCTAGGAGTGGAATTCCTGGGTCAAATGTTATTTCTATTTTGAGCTTACTCAGCCTTTTTAAAGGTAGCTTTTTTTAAGGCAGAAAAATAAGGGAATTCTGACATGCTAGAACATGGATGAACCTAGAGGATATCTGCTAACTGAAATAAGCCTGTCACAAAAAGGCAAATATGGTATAATTCCACCTATATGAGGTTCCTGGAGTCGTCAAACTCGCAGACAGAAAGTAGCATGGTTGCCAGAGGCTGGAGGAAGGAAAGGCCAGTTGTTTAATGGGTAAGGAATTTTACTTTTCCAACAGGAAAAGATTTCTGGAGAATGAGCACAACAATGTGAATGTACTTAATGCTAGTGAACTGTATACTTAAAAATGGCTAAGATGGGAAATTTTATGCTTTTTACAATTAAAATTTTAATTTAACAATTTCTTACTTTCCTGATCCAACGCCTAAATTTCCAAATCTTAAAAACTTCATACATTTTTCCCCAATATGTTTGTTTGATTTGGAATCCAAATTAAATCCAATTGCCATGGGTTATGGCTCTTAAATCGTTTTTAATCTATAGGTTCTCCTCCCCCGCCACCCTCCTGGCAACTTCTTTGAAGAAACAAGGTCATGTGTCCCGTGGTTTCTCATAGCGTAGATTCTACTGCCTGCACCCCATGGTGAGTTTTAATTGGACTTAGGAAGAGGCTAAAGACATCCATTTCCGCGGGGCCGGCCCAGCTGGACCTGAGAAGGCGAGGCTAAATCAGCAGCCAAGCTGCTTGGAGTGACACAGACGCCGTTCACACACGCACAGGTCAGCCACCCACTAAGCGGCGTCAGGCGGAAAGGAGGCGGGGCGGGACGACGTGGGAAAGCCCTTTGTTGGGTTTCCACGCACGTAAGAACGCTACCGAAATAAACAGAGGAGGCGGGCCTTTGGCCGGAAGTGACGCACGCGCGGCCGGCAGCGGAGTTGCCGTAGAGGCGGGGAGACCCATAGACCCCGCTGCCCCGAGCAGCGCTTCCGGCCATATCCCAAGGGGGCCTGCGTTGTGGAGTTGGGGGCAGGTAAGGGTTTCCAGTGATCCGGACCGCGGCTGCCGCCCCGCGAGCGGGATGTTCCAGGGTCTGAGCAGCTGGTTTGGCTTGGAGCAGCCGGCGGCGAGTGGCCGGCAGTCCGAGGGAGATGGGCAGCGTGCAGGAGACGCTCCACCCGAGCAGCGCGCTGAGGCGGTGGTGGAGTCGGCGGAGGGGGAGCCTCAGCAAGCGGGGGACCAGGAGCTCCTTCACCAGGCCAAAGGCCTCGGCAGTGAGTCTACCCTGGCCCCCGGGACCAGAGAATGTCGAGGAATGCCCGCATCCATCTTGACACTTCTGGGGCGCGGGCGCGACTGGTTGGGGCCTGTGGGGTGGGGGGAAGGAGAAGGAGAAGAAGGTGTGTCTGTCGGTCAGTCTTCTCAGGACGGGAGAGGTTGGTGAGGATCTGGGCAAGGCCGAGGTTTCATCTAGCAGCTAAATTCTCTGCATGAAGTTCCTGGTGACTTGTCAGTCTTTACAAAGTGTGTAAATAGCGGGAGCAGTAAAGCGTTTTCTCCCTGCCCGAGTGTTGTGAGAGTCAGCTCACCTGCCCCCTCGGCAAGTGCAAGTAGCAGAGGCCAGACGGCCCTAACTTACAGAGCATTTCTTGTAGGATGAGAAGAGTGGAAGGCAGGCCAGCTGCCTGGGCGCATCCGGGTCCAGCTTCAGGACCTGCCTGAGGTCACTTCCTGCAGCCCATTTGGTGCAGAGTATGGACTTTGAAGTGGTACTTGTCCACATACAGGCCTTTATATTATATAGCACAGTGGAGCTTTGGTACATGTCTTTTCAGGTCTTAAGGAACGTTAATTTTGTTTTTTCCTTTTGTAAAGGTGGGAGTTTGTTTTAGTTTTAATTTGTTCTACATATTTGCTCATTATTATTAAGAAGGATTCATATTTATATTAGGGCTTGCCACGATTTCTATTTTTTTTTAATTCTCCCAGATTTATCATAGGATGGGCTAATCTAGGAAAGGACGGTCATTTTTTCGTTCAATAGGAGGGAAGAAAGAAAATAAACATGGGCTATTTAGGGCCTAGAAAGGAAGGAAAGTAAAAAGGAGCCTTGGTGTGATTTGTGAAGTTGAAGGGGGAGTTATGTAGTGAGATAAGCTAGAACTAATGACTGGAGAAGGGCCAGACAAGTTTGAAACAGCTACCAGGGAGAACTGGGCAGCATGCTAAAGGTCTTTGCAAGAGATGGATTCAAGGCCCAATCAGGATGGCCTATCCACCCGGTAAGTAGAGTACTGCCCCTGCTTCTCATTCCTTGTTTCAAGTCCTGACTAACAGGGAATGTGCCCAATGGTTTAAGATTCCTGTAAGAGCTCTTTAAGGGAAAAGTCACAGATACCATAGCCATTGTACTTGGAGCATAGACTCTCTTTTATTCTTTACAGCCTATCTATTTAACTTTGCAACTGCTGCTACAAAAAAGATAACTGAATCAGTTGCTGAAACAGCACAGACAATAAAGAAATCAGTTGAAGAAGGAAAGATAGATGACATCATTGATAAGGTACATTTAAATATCTTTTGAAAGTAGAGATTTATGAAATTCATTAGCACCTAATATAATCATCCCTTCTGAACTTGATTAACCCAAGTAAGATATCATGTTCTGATCAAAATATTGTTGAGATTCTTGGGTTTTTTTCTCTCTTTTGTATAACAAGATGCTATGATATAAATTACCTGATTTGAATAACCTTTGTTTTAGTTTTAATATATTCTAAAATACATTAATATTTTGGGATAATGCTACAGTTTTCATATTGTGAGTTTAATTTAAACTATTACTATTTCTGAATATATTTATTAAGCCTTTGCATTATTCAGTTAAGGTTTTAAAGCCCTAGCCCATTAGGAACAACCCTTTTAAGACCCTAAGGAGTGAGTTTGTTCATTTTTTGCAGAGGTAGGGTGCAGACCTAGGGAATTTCATTTATGTTGGTAATTATTTGAACTAAGGAGGTCATCAATTAAACTTTAGATAGCTTGTTATCTAGATACTTTGTTGTGTATACTATTTGTTAGAATGAGATTTAACCTCGCCTTATAGTTTTTTAGAGTAATACAATAATTGAATTTTAAACTCATTTTATTTTTGCTTTTCAAAGATAAGCTATCATAAAGGGGTGTGTACTTTTAAATTCAAAATGTTGAATTTCTCTTTTTGCTGGGTAGCTCATTTTTTAGCCTTTTTATTTGAGGAAAATGAATGTCTTAAATAAGCTTCACAAATCTTGAATGTAATTCTTATCTAATAAACTTTCCAAAGTTATTTGACTTTTTACATATTTTTTAACAGACAATTATAGGAGATTTTCAGAAGGAACAGAAAAAATTTGTTGAGGAACAGCATACCAAAAAATCAGGTATGATATAGGTTTGTGGTAATGACTTACTTAGCTGCCAAATTTTATTGAGCACCTATTGTGTGCCAGACACCACACTAGGCCTCTGAGAATACAAAAATGTGTGAGTAACAGCCCCCCTCCTTCTGGTAGCACAAAGACTAATGGAGGAGACAAACTCATAAACCTTCAGGGTTTAAAGGAAGGAAGGAAATCGTTGCCCATGGCTGGGATGGTGGATGAGGTTGACCAAATGACAGCCCCTGGTGGGGGTGTGGGGGCAGGCTGTGAAAGAGAGAAAACTTTCATTTCTCATTTTAGAACATGTCCAGGGCAGTACAATATATACACATAATAGGCACTTAGCAAATGTTGGCTCCCTCCCATTCTCTTCAGGAGAAAAATAGAACAAAGCTTTCCAGGGGAGTGGCAGAGGGCTGTGAAAAGTCATGGGCGTTTGGAGAACGTACTCAATAGATTTCTTTACTGACAAATGCTTATCTAAATATTTGCAGTTATAAGGTCTTAAACTGCCTCCTGTTACTATTGGGTGGTGCTGAAACCCAAAACTGGCCTCATGTCTTTCCATTTGACAGAAGTGTAAAATAACTCAGTGGGTTTGAGCAGTGCCACAAATTCAGGAAGAGCTAGTTAGTACTGTGGCAAGTTCCTGTTGGGCATTGCTGCACCTAGTTACTCAAAAGTATGAAGCAGCTCTTTGGGAGAAATAACCTATACAATTTAGCGCAACTTACCAATTCACGGGAAGTAGTAAAATTGATCCTGGCTCAGAGACTTGGTGTAAGAGCTGCTTGGTTCTCTGAGATAGGAAGTATAAGGGAGCAGGGATGAGAGGATTGGGGGTACTTTCAGTTTTGAGGCACCCATTAGACCTCAGGTGAGAGGAACATGTACAGAGGCAGGGAAGGGAATGCAGGTGGCATATTGGAAAAACTCCATTTCTCATATCAGGTGCCCAGTAACCACATGGGGCTAATGGGTACCATATTGGACAATGCAGATAGAGAACATTTCTATCATTGCAGAAAGTTCTGCTGGTCAGCACCGCTAAATTAATGGGGTCCAGCAGCAATTTATTCCTTTTTGAAGCATAGAGGAGGATTCCATCTACTGGTACAGATTACTAGTCAAGATGTGCCAAAGCCATGAGCACAGGTGAGCTCCTCAGTGACAGTGCCGAGCATGAAGAGAGCTGAGGAGAGATGTACAGGGTTTGAGGGGAAGGGAGGAGCAGGAGGAATTGGCAGTTTCTGAGGGCCTGCTAAGTGGTGGGCACTTTATATATGTCATCTCCTCTTATAAAAGGCAGGATCAGCAAGGGTAAGTCATTTGCTGAAGGTTGCTCAGCTGGTAAGTGATGGAAATAAATCTGCCATCAAAACAAGTGCCCACTTACCCAAGAGAGAGAACATTTGCTAGGAGAGAAGCAGTAGAAGCCCATAGATGGGAGAATTTCAAGGAGAACAAGACCAGCTGCAAGGTCTGTTTACAGTCACCATGAGGAAGGGCACTTGATGAGTGGTCCATGTGCATGTGTTCACTCAGTGGTCACAGTGGTTCTGTGAGCTACCTCCCGTAAGCTCCACTTTCAAGATGAGGAAGCCAGCCTACAGAGAATAGGAGTAAGTGTCCATGGGGTTGGACAACCTGGGGATTATTGACTGCCCTAAAAAGCAGTTTCAGAGGAACAGGGAGATGGGGGTGTCTCATCTACACCAGAAAAGTGGGCCTTGGGAGGATAAGTAGCACTAGGAGAGGCTCCCACATGAATAGACTGAAAATGGAGACCAAAGTGTTACAGTAAGTGTGAGAAAAAAAGTTTTAAAGGAGCTTTACCCTAATTTTTTTTAACATATGAAAATAGTTTATCTTACATTTAGCAGAATTTGAATTATAGTTGCCACCATTTGCTTGCTTAGGATAAGCAAAGAATGAAACAAGTGTCTATCCATGAGTGTACATAACTTTTCTATCAATTGATACACAATGGGCTGTCTCTTCCATTTGACTTCTGCGGCATAACACAAAAAGGGATTATTTCTGCAAAAACGTTAGGACCCTCTGTATGTGTATCTCTGTACTCAGCACCTGCACCACAGCCTCGGCTCTGCCCCCCTGACCTGCTCCAAGCTTAGATGGTTGAGCTGCACATGCTTTGTGGTTTTGCCTCTGCTCTTACACCTGCTGCTCCCTCTGAACACCCCCTAAACACACCCAACACTGAACTCCTAACCCAAGATTGGCTCCCAAGTCACCATAGAAAATCCTGTGGGACTCCCCTCTCCAGGTTACCGTTTATCACCTGGCATTATAATCCTGCTGAGTTGCAATCATCTCTTTCCTGTGAGCCCTGGAAGACCCAGCTGGGTGTTACTCATCTTGGTATTCCCAGCATTTAGCTTCTAGAGGCTCATTGATGATTTGATCCCAGCTCTATTGTTTATTGCCTCCGATTTGTCCGTGTCTTTTTTCATTTGTTTTCACTCTTGACAACCTTTAATTCCTAATCACTTATCTTGCAGCCTCCTTATCACTTTTTGTCATGAGCCAAGCACCACTAGTTTATAAAAATATTTTATTTGGAAATAATTTCAGTTTACCAAAAAGTTGCGAGCGTCCACGTAGTACAGCAAACATGTATACCTTCTTCCTAGACTGTTGGCATTTTATTCCATCTGCCTTATTTACATGCTTTTTCCCTTTTTGCATCCTTTTTTTCTGTTACATTGAATGTGTATTTCCTCATAAGTAGGGAAATTCTCTTACATAATCACTGACCGTACAGTTGGCAGCTTTAAGAAATTGAACACTGATATACTATGCATATTCTAATATCGTCAGTTGACCCAGTTATGTCTTTTACATATTTTCCTCCTCAATATAACACCCAGTCTAGGACACAGCATTGCATTTTTGTTATGTCTCTTAGCCTCCTTTAATCTGGAATATTTCCACACCCTTTGTCTTTTATGACATTAGTGTTTTGAAGAATACTCAAACCCACCCCACCCCCCTTTTTTTAAATAGACAGTTCCTCACTGGGCTTTGCCTGATATTTCCTTATGATTAGATTCAGATTGTGTGTTCTTGGCCAGAACAGCTCACAGCTGATGTGTCCTCAGGATATCACACCTGGAGGCCCACAGTGGCATCTCTCCTTCACTGGGGATGTTGATTTTGGTCACCTGGTCAAGGTGTCATCCAGTTTCTCCACCATATAATTCCAAGCAGAGTAATTTTTTACCAAATGCATACGTGCAGAAGATTGATATGGTAAGTCTAGGAATTATGAATGTTTGTGTTTGGAATCTCTTTATAAATTGCTAAAATGATTGTGTGGAAACATTCTTATTCTTCCAAACCATGGATTGCCACATAACCCTTGTAACCTGATTTTCTCTTTTCTTCTTTGCCATTAAAAACCATTTAGAAACAGCAGTGCCCCCGTGGGTTGATAGTAATGATGAAGAAACAATTCAACAACAAATCTTGGCCTTATCAGCTGTAAGTATCTTGTGATTCCATGTATAGAAATACTTTTTTCCTAGCATGATTTTATCCTTAGGAGAATGTTTCTCTTCTGTACAACTTTTTAAATATTTTGAAATGTTAGGAATGTATATACCAACTTAACAATTTCTTCCACTAACTTTTAATTTGCTTCTCAAGTTCTTTTTTCTTTTTTTTTCAAGTTCTTTTTTACTTAATGGAAAACAGTATAGCTTATTACCACAAAGTAACTCAGCCTTAAAAGGATTATTTTATGTTACTAAGATAATCTTTTGAGATATGCTGTCATATATAGTTTCTAGATAATATTCTTATTTTTTCTGAATCAAATGATTATATTCTAAATTTTCTCCTTAACAGCCCCCTGTATTTGAAACTGAAATTGAAAGAAATAAAATTCCATATGCTGGCCCATGAAAATAGCTCTTGGGACTTTAGAGGGAACATAGAGATACCAGGTAACAATTGTGTAGCACCTGACAGTTTCAGAAAGCCTTCTCTCATACATTCTGTCTTTTGAGCCCCAGTGTACATCTGTGAGGTAGGTAGGGGTTTTATTGAAATTGTATAGGCATGGGGACCAAGACTGTCCAATGTGACCCTCACTACTTATCTGTGTCTCCACTGGGCTGTGAACTCTTCGCGGTCAGAGGTTGGCCTTGATCTCCATCTGTCCTCAGCACCCAGCAGCCTGCCTGGCACAGAACTCAGCTAATAGGGCTTTTTACTCTATCAGTGGTTTTCAAGTTTGTTTTTAATCCACTCTTTTTTTCTTTTTTAACCAAAGTCATAAATGGAACCTCAGTCTAGAAAACAAACAAATGTAGAGCTGGGCTTTACCTCCCTTCCATTGCCCTCACCCAGGGCATTTTAAGGGTTTTTTTCTTTCCATTCGTAAACCCTGTAGAGACTAGAGCATCCATTACGGGTTGAGAAGTGTGAACACCATATATTTTGTTTGCCATGTTATGACCAAATTGACACCAAGGTTGCATAGTACATACCTGCTTATCTCGAGAAGGAATTTGTGGACAAATGAGAAGGACAGTGAGAGTCAATGTCATTTCAGAGCAAATGTCAGATACTCACCAGTCCAGTCCCCCACAGCTCCTCTGTCCCCCAAACCTGTTCTCTCCTCGTTTCCATCTCAGAATAAAACTCCCGTTTATCCACCAGTATTTTTCTGGCCACAAACCCAGGAGTCTTCCATGAGTTGTGCCTCCCGCACTCTGTCCTGACCATGCTGTATTCGGGATATACAGCTCCAGCCCACTTCTCCCCTGCCACCACTGTGGGCCTGGTGCCTTCATCTCCTGCCCGAGGCATCCCAGCTGCTGTCCTATCCCATTCTTGCCCCTTTCCGGGATAAGCTCCTCTCAGCAGCCAGAGGGATCTACTTAATGGCATAAATCACATCCTGTTGCTCCCATACATAGACCCTTCTACTGGTAGCTCTTCGTAGATTAAGACCTAAACTCCTTCCACTGGCTTCCAAAGCCCCAGGCTTTGTGCACCTCTCCTCCCTTGTGTCCCACTGCGCTGACTCCCAGCACTCCAGCCACCATGTCTTGCTGGAGCACAGCCAGGCTGAGCTCTGTCCCACTGTAGTGCCTGTGGTTGCTTTCCTCTCCTCCCCACCCTGTACCACTCCTCACGATCTCAGCTCAAATGGCATCTCCTAGAAGCCTTCCCCCACCACTCTAGCAGCCCTCTGTTCCCAATGAGCCCATCTCGGCCTTAGCAGTCTAAATCCGGTCTGTTCCCACCCCCCAACTGGAATGGAAGCTCCGTGAAGACAGGGACTCCACCTGTGCTATGCCCGGCTGAGCAGGTGGCATGTATCTGGAGCACAGTAGGTTCGGAATGAGCACCTGATGCATGGGTGACTCAGTGAACGTTGCATGCAGGCGTGCCTACAAAAGAGCCCACAGGATTTTGGCATGATCCAGAGGCTTTGAAAGCCACTCCAATATGTCCATTATGGTGGCTGCTGAATTTGTTAAGGGATGGACTAAATTGCTATAATAGAAAAATCCAAAAATATAGTAGGTTAAATAAGGTACGAGTTTCTGTCCCTCTCTCCTAACCCCACACGTAAGAGTCCAGAGATAGATGGTCCAAGTAGAGGTGCTGTGTCCGTGAAGTCATTAGGGGCCCAAGTTCTTCCTGTCTCAGTCCCATCCTGTACTAGCCCCTAGGATGTTGTCTTGCCTCCCTGTGGGGAAGCCAGCTCCCCATAACCATGACTGTGTTCCAGCCTGTGGGGATTGGGAAGAGGTGTGTGGGCGTGCCAGACCATTTGAAAGACAAGACCCAGAAACTGCACCTATCACTCAGGCCCACCCCCCTTTGTCACCTTAGACAGCCTAGCCACTCCTAGATGCCAGGGAGCCTGGGAAATCCAGCCTCTGGCCAGGCAGCCACATGCCCAGCTGGAACTAAGTTGTGATCCTGAAAGAAAGGAAGGAAGAAGTCCTGGGGGACAATTAGCAATCTCTGCCAGAGTTGCCCTACATTCTCTGACTTACCAGGCACTAGTTTGGGATAATTCAGAGTATAGCAGAGTAACCCTTGAAGCTTCTTGTATTGGGCCACTTAATGCATGAAAAGAAATGGATAGTACAGTTGTCATTGGGTACTTATGATACCTCAATTCAGCAAATTGTTTTCAGCAACACCTCTGGGCCAAGCCTTGTCCTAGGACTTGAGGTGAATGAGACAATCCCCCCTCCCAGGAGCCTAGAGGCTTAGTGGGGAGCTGCTAAGTGACCACACATACAGTATCACTCCCTGTAGTAAGTGCTGTGACGCAGGACGCTAAGGAAGTGCAGGAAGAGAGACAGCTTGTTTCTTTTAGAGGCATAGGCATGATGCCAGGGAAGCTTCCCCAAAGTGATGATACGGGGCAAGTTATTAAGTCTTAGGCAGTGGTTACTGTTGGGGGGTGGGGTTGGGGGGAAGTGGGGCAGGGTTTGACATTCAGTAGGGGCATTGGAAGCATTTGGGTATGACTGGACTATAGGATGCAGTTGGAGAAGTAGGTAAGGAGCCTTTTTATACCATTCTGATAAGGTTAGGTTTTAAGGCAACAAGGAGTCATTGAAGGATTTCAGTCATAGGTAAACTACATGTGCTTGAGGTGGTGGAAGAAGCAGGTTGCTCTGGGTAGCAGAACTGGGACTGGAGACCATTGCCCATTAGACGGCTACTGTCGAAATCCTGGAGAAATATCACTGGAGTAATTTCAGGCTTTGAAATTTTTACATTGGAAGGTAGAATAAGTAAAATTCATTTAGGATCAGATTTTTTTCTTGCCTTATTAATGTAGGAATTCTCAAAAACCAAAAATATTGTTAAAATCCAATATGGGTAAGTTGAGATGAAAATGACAGGCACTCTGTTAGTAGCCAGTTTCTAAGTAGTGTTTCTAACATTATTGACTCTAGTTTTCACTTACGTAAAGGTGCTCACTGAAACAAACGTGTGTTCATATGATTTCAAACTGTGTAATTGCAACTAATCATTGCACCATTGAATTCCTGGCCTCCCAGTAGGCTCCTTTCAGTTGATAGTTAAAAAATATATGAAAGAATCTGTTCTTTGCTCTCATGAGTGAACAGGTCAGTGATAGCTCAGTGGACTTCACGGCTGAAATCTTCATGAGATTTCAGCATTTGGCAAATCAGTGAGTGATGCATTGTCACATGTAAATCACATTCTGTGGTGTTCCCCATGTGTTTACCCCTTTTCTTCAAAGGACAAGAGGAATTTCCTTCGTGACCCTCCAGCCGGTGTGCAGTTTAATTTTGACTTTGATCAGATGTATCCTGTTGCCCTCATCATGCTTCAGGAGGACGAGCTGCTGAGCAGGATGAGATTTGCCCTTGTTCCTAAACTGTAAGCAGTGTGTTCTCGAACTGGAGGGGTGCTGTTGCATCATGTATTTGAGTTTTTCTAGTGACCTTGGTCATGTGCATAGTATCAGGGAGAATCATGGAATGGCGGCCCAGAACTGTCTCAGACTCTCTCTTCACTAAAAGCAGGCTCTGCAGCCCTTCAGCGCTCTCCCCACAGCACACAGTGCCGGACCATCAAAACCCAAAGGGTACTTTGCAGGAAGTCGGGATGGAGATGAGATGCACTCTCTTATCCCCACGTAGAAGGCAGATCGCAGTTTCCCCAAAAAACAAATGTCCCCTTGCCTTTCCAAATGCAACTGAGGTCTCTGAGGCCCCTCGGTACTGCCCACTGCCTGTGTGCACTTGGGCTCTGTTGTTTGGCAGTAGAGTTCTTGTTCTCTTTCCTACCCACAGTGTTTCCTCAGCCAGTGGCAACAGAGTCCCTGGCCACCAGCCACAAGGGGCAGCAAGGGAGGAGGAGCCACCCCTCCTTTTGGGCCTCCGCTGTACCTTCTGTCTTGAGCCCAGCCTGCACTTGGCCTCCCAAAATGACTGGTGCCTTCTGTCCAGGGACCTTTCTGAGCTTTGGCCTGATAAACAGACCTGCTTCTGGCCGCCCCTCCAGCAGGCAACTCAGGGAAGCTCCCTAGACCATCAACTTATCTTTTCCTCACTAGTTCTCTTTGGTAACGTGGGTTTTGTCTACCTCATTCCTTTTCTATATTGCAGTGGTCTTTGTTTTGATTTTTTTGTTTCTGACTTTTTTTGAAGTATAGTTGACATAATAGTTTTAGACATACAACATTGTGATTCAACATTTATATACATTATAAAATGTATACCATTGTATGTGTATTTAGTGGTGTTTTCAAAGGGAGCTCAGATATATTTGTTGTGCCGTGGTTAGCTGGTCAAATAGGGGTTTTAACAAATATCTGCTAGCCTTATGGTTCACATAGCAGCAGAGGTCTTCTGTCTGGAACAACAGTTATATAAACTCTTTTATTTCTTTATTTTTTTAAGTGAAACTTTTCCCTTCATAATTTTAATATATTGGTGGTGAATTTATACAGCCTTCCACTCTCCTGAAAGTAACAACTTTCAGTTGGGAGTATAAAAAAATTTATCAGTTGATCATAATTTTGTACTGTTATGCCCACAAACCCCTGGGAATTGGCTTTTGAACAGTTCTTATGTATATGTATATCTGTCGGAAGCTCTGTCACCTCAGAATTTGAGGTCATACCCATTCAGAGTGGCCGTGTCTTGTGAGAGAAGAGTAGCAGAGTTCTGAATTCAGGCGGGCTTCACACCTGAAGGCACCATCAACGTGAAGACCACTTGGCTCACCCTGGGCCTCACAGTGGGCCCTCTGCCAGCGCTCTCAGGTCCTGAGGTGTGACACGCGGGGCCTGACACACTTGTGGTAAGCATGTAGTTGTCTCTGGTTTGGGTTATTGAGGATTCTGGACTCTCTCACTGCTGACAGTAATTTTAGACTTTTTAAAAGCTTTGGAGAATTGGTATGTGGCAAATAGCATCTCTGATTTGTCATAGGCTAAGTAAGCTGCCCACTGAGTAACATGATTCCAGTTTCCTACTGCTAATTCTGTTAGCGCTGATGTAGAAATTAGGTCACTAGTTTTTATAAGTCTTTCTCTGTTAGAAATGCTCACTGAAGTATTTATGAATGAAAGGATATGATATCTGGCATTGCTTTAAAATATACCAACCCACCCAAAGAAAAGCATGTGTGCAAGGGAAAGTGACATAGATGAAGCATGAGTGGCAAAATACTGATAATTGTTAAGTTAGGTCTCATGTATGCAGGGGGGTTCTTTGTTCTAGTCTCTCCACTTTGTTTTGTTGAAATTTCCATAATTCCCTAACAGCACAACAATGAGCCGTCACACAAATATAGGGCTTTGATCATTTGAGACACTTTCTAAACAGAAACCGTCATTAACAATTCAGAAAATAACACTTGGTCTATATTTTAAAATACCTTTTAGTGTGTTAGCACTTCCCTGTGACAGCAGTGCTGGCATGATACGGCCCTGCTTTTGCATCACAGACACCCTGAGGCCTTCACGCTGACAACAGTAGAGAAATGACAAGTCCTTTCCAGCCTTGGACTGTGACATATGTACATTGTTTTCCAAAGGATGTCACAGAATACTAATGCCTTAAAATAGTCCATGAAAGCATAAGTGATCAGGTAAATGTTTGGGAGTTGCTACGTTCCCTGGTTTTCATTATCATGAGGTTTCTCAGGATCTTCAGTCCGCCATCTGCATTGCGACTCTTCCAGACGGTAACAGTATTTTACAGGTGCCTCTGTGTCCATTTCCTCTTATATCAAGTGGGAGAGGCTTTGGAAAAGAAACAGTCTAGATGTTTGCTTTTATTCAGAGAGCAAACATTGTCCATAATCCACTGTACATAGGTAATACATCTTTTTCATTTTGAGCATCTAGAACCCAGAATTAAAAATGACCTTGAAAATACTCAGGCAGCTTACTACCTCACGGGAAGGCTAATCTCACTCATACAGCTGCGACGTTGCAGTTTTAAGACCCTTGAACTTGTCCAGGTAAATAGCCCCAGTTCGTTCATTTGTTCCCCAGGTATCAGTCTTGTACCCCTGCACTGTCCAGGTGATTAACCTCTGAGAGTGAGTCCTCCAAAATGAAAACATTGTGCTAATTGCAGAAGAGCACACTGTAGTGTATCTTGTATTGCTTTTTGATGCAGCCTAAGACTTCATCAGCTCTTCGAGCAGCTGCAGCATACTGTTTGCTCAGGTAAACTTGTGGTGCCTTTGATGCTTCATGATTAGCTGTGAAGCCAGGTCTCCATCCTGCTGAACTATTTCTAAGAGATGTTATAAGAAAAAGAGAGTTATGAGGCCACGTGAGTTTGGGAAATGCTGATTGGCACATAGTAAGAACTTAACAAGAGATGATTATTCCTGTGACAATCTGTGTTGGCAGACCACTTGTCTTTCTCATTCCTGAATTGATGGCCCCTATCCTCCCATCCCCCAGCATCTAGCATGGGACCTGATGGATGTGGCACTCGGTAAATGCTGGTGGAATTAATGAAGAAAAAGATGAGTTGCATCTAGCAGTATGTCATCTTGTTACCTAGCCTAGCTTTTGTAGATAATCTTGCATTTTGCCTCAGTCACTTAAAAAGCTAGCTTCCTGGCCTAGCTTTGCCATTCACAAATGTGACAGCCACATCTTCTGATGGCTTATCCAAGGCAAGTCCTGTTCTTATTCACAAGTCTGGGCCTCAGTATTTTATTTTCTTGGTTCTCACTGATTTTCTTTTACTTCTTCAAAGTCTTTTTCTGTTACGCTTTCTTCCTTGACTTGCCCTCCATTCTAAGAATCTGCATCCCTGCTAGTAAACCAGGAGGTACAGAGGCATTTTCCCACCCTTTTGTCATTTCTACCAGCAAAACATTTTTGGAACCTAAAATGAGCAAGTCCTCCAGGCAAAAAAATCCCACACATACTCCACAGGTCACCAAAGCCATTCCTTGGCTATCCTTGGTTTGGGGGAGGAGGAGGTGTGCATTCTATGGTTTTTCTTGAGTCTTGTTTTGTCTTCCATCCTTGAAATTTTTATTTAGTTGCTCTGAGGTGAGCACAATCATCAATATTTTTCATTATTATTTTGAAACAATCACAAACTTATGGAAATGCTGGAAACACAGTATAAAGAACTTCTTTTTTGAATTCATCTAAGATCTGATTCCCCATCACCCCTGCATGCTTTGGTGTGTATTTCCTACAAGCAAGGATTCCCTACATAACCATGATGTAAGCATCCAAGTCAGGAAAGGGTCACTTACATGTCATTACCATCTTATTCCCAGACCCCATCGAAGTTTTACCATTCTTCCCAATAATACCCTTTTTAGCAAAAGCATCCAGTTCAAACACATGATCATTTCGTTTTCATGTCTCATCAGTCTCCTTCAGTCTGCTGCATCCTATCAGGGAGTACACACTGCCATTTTGTCCCATTACTGTCCACACTTTTGTCATTTGATTTAAGGTGGTTCCTGCCAGGCTTCTTGACTATTAAGTTATTCCTTTCCTCTTAATAAGTACTTTCTGGGGAGGTACTTTGAAACAGTGTAAATACCCCGTTCCTCATAGGACTTTCCGTGTAGTCATTGTATTTATGTACATCTGTATGGACTCATAATCCTGTTTAATGCAATGGTTATAATCCGTTGCTATCATTGTTTATTTTTCTACTCAAATTATTACCAGTTTGATCAGTGGGAGCCCTTTCATGCTGGCTTCTGTGTTCTTTTGACTCATCCCCATCATTCTTTGAGCATAAGATAGTCCAGGCTCATCTTGTTCTTCCCTTGCTGCAACCCTGATATCAGCCATTTGTCCAAGGGGCTCTGGTTCCTATTAGTGGAAAATGGTGTTTCGAAACCAGTATCTGAGCACAAGGCATGGTCATTGCTATTGGGGTGTCATCACTTCTTGGCCCGCCCACTCTGGGCAGCACTAGGGAATATATGCATGTGCTCATGTACACATGCATGCACTCATTTGCATCTCTATTAAATGAAAACCATGTGTTCATAGCGATACCTCAAGACAAGGATCGTGTTACAATTTTCCCTTTTAATGTTTGTAACTCCCTTTTCTGATGGTGAGAAACCTGGTTTCCACTATTGTTAATATTTTCCCTTAATCAGTCAATCCCCCTGCATGTATCCAATCTTCTGTTTTTGCCATCACCCCCTCCCCTGCTCAGACACTCTCCTCTCCCTACTCATGTTCTCATTCCCCATTCCAGGCCACCCCCACGTGGCCATGTACCTTCCCCCACTTAGGCACAACACCGCACACCAGGTGATTCTAATATGCAGATAAGTTTGAGAGCCACTGAAAGTTCTCAGGTTTTTATTCAGTGTTTGTATCAATCTTACCCCAGCTGGTTGCTAACTCTTACTGATTGCTTGTTATGTGCAAGCTGCCAAACATTTCCTTTCATAAGGAACAACACCCACAATCCTTTCTTCTCACTGCTTGAAAGCACTTAATCCTTTGGTAAATAGCAGGTAATTGGTGGAGCCCTGGCTCTCCTTCCAGTTGCCCAGGTTGATCTACAGCTTTCACAGCAGTGCCTGTTTTCCTGTGCTGTTGGTAATGTTGATACTACTAAAACACCAAGAAACTCTGAGGTTTCATTGGTGTTCTGTAAATTGTCTTTCACTGCTATGAAGACCGTAGCTGTTCTTCATGTTACTCAACTTTGAATTGAAAGCAAATGAGAATCCTTTGAGTCTCAGATTTGAAAATGCCCCTAAAAAGCATCTGTTCTAATCTCCACTGCAACCGATCATTCCTGCATGCATTTGTGGGTATGCAGTCTCAAATGTGTTGTTTGTCTTTAAAAGCGTGAAGGAAGAAGTGTTTTGGAGGAACTACTTTTACCGGGTCTCCCTGATTAAGCAGTCAGCCCAGCTCACGGCCCTGGCCGCCCAGCAGCAGGCCGCCGGGAAGGAAGAGAAGATGCATAGCAGAGAGGATGAGTTGCCACTGACAGGTATATTCAGAGAAGATTTCACTCTGAAAGTAAAAGAAAAAAGACAAAGAGTTGCTTTTAGAACATTCTTAACTTAGACACTCTCGTGAGCTTGCTGTCTTGTATGTACCAGTGATGTCATTGTCTTACGGAAAATTCTTTTCTTTCCGGAGGAAATACTCATTCTTCACACTGCCTCTAACTCTGCTCACACGTCTTCCCCAAGCTTTCTTTTACTTTGCTGTGTTTTCTCATTGTCTTTTTTCTTTATTTCTCCCTCGATCACCAGTCGTCTTCCTGCCTCTTTCCTTACCCTTTACTGTATGGTGCTCTGTGCCTTTTGTCCTCCCCTGAGTCAGTCCACTGCTTTTTTCTGTTTCTCAGTCCTCCATCCAACCTGGTCTTTCCCCAGTACCGTATATGGTCTGTAGAACAGAACTAAGCTCCATTCCACTCCAAGTTACCAGTGTCCAGCTCAGAGCAAGGTGCCATTAAGTTACATATTTGACTTTTACTGGACAGTTTAGCCCCTGCTTCTTGGGGAAAGTATTTTATGATATCAGCAACAATTTAATATCTGTAATAATAATTAAAACAAGAAATGTATTTTGTGTCATATTTTTAACATTTAATGACTACCTGCTATGCATAGGTATAAATTACAGTGGGAGACTTACTCCATTCACAGAATTGTAAGTAATTACACAGAGCCATGGTATATAAGGCGCTGACTGTACAGAGCACCAGGAAAGACCGTCAGGCTGCATTTAGGGTCAAGCAAATGGAATGAAGTTGCCACATAGTAACATTTGGCAGTTTGCTTATAGATGTTAACATTAATCCCGGTTGTCTGTCATTCTTTAGTATTTATTTTTATTAACTTTATTGGAAAATGCCATTTTACCAAATACTCCTGTGTAACAAAATGGGCTTAAGACAGGGTTCAGGAAAGATTATACATCTTGTCAAGTTGGTAAGATAGAAAATGCAGCCTGGGAGAAAGGGGAGAAGCTGTGGCTGAGCATTTCGTTTTACTGTGTGCTTTCTAGCATTTGTGACAAATGGAAGACTTGATGAATAACTGAATTCTCATTATCCTAAAAGAGCAAAAGTATTCTTCAATGAATTTTGCTAACACTGAAGTCAAAATATACTTCCTGCTAGAAATCTTATGTGAGGGGTATTGAATATGATGACATAAAAGAAAAATCCCCAAAAGAAAGAGGTTGACATAGTTCCACCTGGCTATTTCTTATAATAAGAAAAACTGAAAACAACATATAAAAGCTTATTTCTGGAAATTATTTAGTATTGTCATACTTGTGGGTATTTTAGTTGTTATAAGATGTATTCAGAATTGAATCAAGCAATTATTGTCTCTTTTATTCTCACTTCTTAGAGGCAGTACGGCCCAAAACGCCACCTGTTGTAATCAAATCTCAGCTTAAAACTCAAGAGGTAATACAGTTTTACATTGTACATAGTAGTTGATGTCTGGAAATGAAATAACTCTGTGTTAACTATCTCAGATACCATTTCAAACTACTTATGAATATGGGTTTTACCTGTTCTGAAGAAGAGGGTCCAGTCCTTGAATAGTTAAGGACCTATAGCTGAGATGTAAGGCAATTCCCTGGCACAAATGATTCTCATCATTTATGAGATAGGCTCATCAGGAATTGGACAGAATGAGTGGAGTGATGCAAACTATGAGCGAGCATAATAGATTCAGGTGGTAGCTCATTTCATTACCGAGTAACTGCAGGTTAGAAGGTTGGAGAGCAGTGATCATTCAAGTAACAGAGGAAGGTAACGAAAATGATGCTGCACTAAAGTGCGAGAGGATGAGAAACAAACTCTAGACATAAATATCAAACAGAGAACCATTTCCACAGGTCATGTTGCATTTCAGGACGAAGAGGACATTTCTACCAGCCCGGGTGTTTCTGAGTTCGTCAGTGATGCCTTCAATGCCTGTAACTTAGATCAGGAGGACCTGAGGAAGGAGATGGAACAGCTGGTGCTTGACAAAAAGGAGCAGGAGAAAGCCATAGCAGAAGGTACAAAACGCCTACGCTCTTCCCCAGTTCTGAAGTTGGTTGTAGAAAATTGTTATTCTGAAGCAGATAATGCAAACATATATTATAACTTGCATCAGAATTGCTTCTCTGTTCCCCACTAAGGGGTGGATGCTAGCCATGACCAGACCTCACAGCCCTATGCCCTAAGCATGCACAGAAGCATGGAGAGGAGAAACAAGACCCGGAGAGGTTAAATAATCTGTCCAAGGCACCTCAGCCCCAAGGATGTGTGGCCAGGAATAGGCAAGGGAGTGCATACCCTTTTACTAGAGATGCTGCCCTCCGCCTTCTGCTTGGGGTTATAGTACACATAGATTCTTTTCCCAGCTGCTGTGTGCCACAAGAGTATTGCTTCTGGGAAGGAGCAGGCTGCTTTTATTTTAGTAAAATGATTTAGGAAAAATGTACAAGCCTGGGGTGGGGGAGCAGGGGAACACTGATTTCTTTGGCACATCAGGACAAATGACTGGCTTTCAACTGGATGGGAAGGAAAGGCTTGGGTTAATCATCAGATGAAGGGTGTTTCAGGAAGCCTTCTGAGACTTACAGTGCACTTTGCACAACTGTGGTAACAGCTGGCTTCCTGAGAGCACCGGTGAGAAAACTAGCTTCCCAGGGGCAAGCTGGGACCTGTTTGCATCCTATGGAGGGACTCTGGAGAAGAAAATGGGGAAGGAAGGAGGAGGGAGGAGCTGCCGGGAGAAAAAGAATCAAGTGGGCAAGTGAAAACCTGTGTTTACTAGGCCCCCCTCAGACCCCTCCCACCCACACCTGTTTTCTAATAAAGATGATTGCTGGCCATGGAAGAAGGAAGGTGGGCATGAGCCCCATGTTTGTGGGTAGTAGCTAGAGCGGACTGTGCATTGGTGATAACCAGTAGCAGACAGAGGTCCCATGGGAGGCTGGAAGGAGCCCTAGGGCAGGATTCTAAAGTACTGGCTAGTACTCTGGGCTAGCTGTTTTTCTGAATTCCTGCCCTGGTCATAATTTGGACCACTTAATAATCTTTTCTATATTAGTTGTCTTGGCCACCCCAGCTACATTTTAATTTCCACAAGGGCAGTTATATCTTGTCTTGTTATCCCCAACAGTACCTAACATGGAGCCTAGCACCCATTTTGCACCTAATACACATTTGTGAAATTGGTGGTTTGTTATGCAACACACTTTTCCCTTGAGGTCACTGCTGAAAAAAATTAAAACATTTGGTTTTCGTTTCCTCTATAGCTACTAAGTTTAGGGTTTATTTTTAAAAGATGAAAATGAATTGTAGCTTTACTTTTTTAAATAGCCACTTTTTTTCCTCACTATTTTATAACATTACATAACAGGTGCCCTATCCTATATATACATGCATGTGTACATGCACGTGCATGCACTTCCACATGTGTTCAGTGTACAAGCAGAAAGTGGCAGACCTAAATCTCAACATGGAAGACTGATGTGAGAGCTCAGATGGAGCCCCATGTGAGGAGGCAGGCTTTGGCAAGAGACTGCCTGACTCCAAGTGCTAGCACCTGTTGCCACTCTAGGGAGACTAGCGCTCAAGTGGTTAAGCACAAACTGGACTCTGCAGATCTAGTTCCATCCGTATGTCTTGTTATCAAGCTGCGTGATCTTGGGCAAGTTACTTAACCTTTCTAAGCCTCCAGTTACCCACCTGTGAAATGTGTACAGTGGTGTATCTAGTCCATGGATTATTTTAAGGATGAAACAAAGTAATATGTAGAAAGCAGCGCAGTGTGGCTCAGTCAGTGCTAAGAAATGGTAGTTGTTTTCGCAACCATTGTCATTGTGGCAAATGTTCATTTGCAACCAAATGTTAATTGCCCACTATCCATTTAAATGTAGGGAAAAGCAGAGTCCCAGGTAAAGCAAAATAACTCCAAACATCTGATACTTTTGCTTCTACATTTAACAAATTTATCTTTCTAATCATACTTCTCTTTGATCACTGTTAAAACTTGTTCAGTTTTTCGGTGCTCATACAGTGAGAAAACAGACGGTAAAAATTATTGTCTCTAGGACTTAACATAGGCAATCATAGGTGACTAAATTGTTAAAACCAGCGTTATGAATTCAGAGAGAACCTTCTCATTGTTTCATGTAGATGAATCTGCAGATTGGGAAAAAGAACTACAGCAGGAACTTCAAGAATACGAAGTGGTGACAGAATCGGAGAAGCGAGATGAAAACTGGGATAAAGAAATAGAGAAAATGCTGCAGGATGAAAATTAGCTGTTTCCTGAAATAAAGGAATAATCCTTAACATTCTGTAACTGACATTAAATTCTAGATGGCAACACTCACTGAATCAGAAGACACAAAATAGTGTAACTTCATGAAATCCAAAATTATTCTCTCTTCAAGTAGAAACTTGCCTCTTCTACTTAAAAATATACAGACCAGTTATTCTAATGATCAAATAAGGATGTTTTATATGGTATTTCTTTAGTATAAATCTAGCTAGAGATATAGTCAGTATGGATATCTTTGCCACAGAAACACAAGTAAAATTTTTAAAGTTCTGTTTTCCATAAGGTCAAGAATATGATTTATTCTTCAGTTGTGGTTTTCTAAACATTTGTACTTTTTGTTGCATTTTCATTGATACATGTATGTTAAAGTACTTGATAATGGATTGATAACTATCAAAATGACCAAATTGTACCAAAGAACTGAAGAAGAAGCAGTTTCAGGACTATTTTCTTGCTAGATATTATCTGGAAGCCAAGAGATAATTATGGTGATTTTAATGCTAGTAATACACACAATTTGACATTGAGGAGTAACTGCAAAAATACTATCTCTGAGACCTTTTCTTTCTTGTTTTGTTTTTTAATTACACCACAATATTTTCCTAAATTCACATGATGGTTTTGTAAAAAGGGTCTTTCAATGTTCTTTTTTTTTGTAATAATGACCTGCAGAAGCACATTCACCGTAAAGTCTCTTGTTCCTGTTTAAATCATCACCACATATAAATGTTTTAGCTTTGTTTGTCTTAATTAAACTGTTAATCATTATAAAATTGTGTTCCTCTGGATACAACTTATGAGACTTCACTGATCAATCCTGCTTGTATTCTACTATACCAGCAGACCCATGTTCATAGAATATGGTTTTTTTAAAAAAAAGGTGGCTTACTGTCAGAACGCTTCAAAGTATTTGCTTCCTGAAACATTCTTCAAGGAGCCTTTATTTCATAAAGGGGAATAAAATTAAGACCACTCTTTGTAAGAAAAATGTACATGTTTATATTCTTGACCACATCAAAGTTAGTCCACAATCCTCTGACAAAGGTATAGTCAACGAGAAAACTGTGTGTGGGTCTAAGCATTACTCTTCTGTTCATAATTTGGATATACACGTGTGAATGAGCCAGACTATCTCAACTGGGATCAACTGGGTTATAGCAATAAACTCATATAATCTGTGAAACCATTGATCCCATTATCAAGACATTTCTGCTTACGGTGCCACAGTTTCTAATTGCTGAGTTTGGGTTAGGAGATGATGACTCGCAACTTCTAAAGTAATCCTATTGAAGGGAAAAGTTTTGGGTGTTTTTCAAATAGAGTTTGCTGGAGGGAAAGATACATGTTAAATGTTTTCAAGTAGCTAAAAATCCTAGATGTAAAACAGATCAGAATACCACAGTGTTTGGCTCTCAGTATATGCACTAAAATTTTTAGTGGTGAATGTTGAATAAATACAAAAAGGTTTCAGAGAAACTAAAAAAAACAAATTACAATAGAAATATAGGACTAGTTGTTAATCAATTTTACATGATATTCTTACTGAAAACCTAATTGTGCATTGATTGCCCTGTGAAAAAAGGATAAAGTCAGATTTTGTACTCAGCATAAAAATAGTTATGCTACATTTTTATGGTTCGTCAAGGAGTAAAATGCCCTGCTTCTCTGAATTATACAGGTAGGTAAAGTGTTACTCCTTTAAACAACAAAATGGTTTGTAACCACGTTTGGTGGAAAATTTCTAAGTATGTATTACATCCGTGGAGTTTAGCCAACAAGGTAACCCTGGATGGAGGTCTTAATGCCCCTATTACCATGCTTTCAGAAAAGGGCTAAGCCAGTGAATCTCTTGGCCTAAGGCAGTGATCCAGCCCTTGAGAACCACCTGGGAGCGTTAAAAATGCTCTTGCCTCTAAGAGTCACCTCCCTGCTGGGACAGAATAGACCCTCCCCTAAGAGACTGAGGCCTTGGTCTGCCTGGACTCTGGCCTGCCCCTCCCTCGGGGAGTGTATTGAAATAAAACTTTCACTGCTTAAATAAATAAAATGGATGGATGAATGAATGCTGATGTCCAAGTCCCACCTGCAGAGAGATTAACTAACTGGTCTGCCCTGGGTGTCGGATTTTCTTTTTAGAAACTCCCTGAGGCATTCTGATGGGCAGCCAGGATTGCCAAGCACTGGCCGCATAAGAAAGAAGCCAGAGGTGAAAGTTTTGGTTGGGAAAGATACACAACTAGGAGGTGCTCAGCTGCTTGGTTAGAAAATGAGGGTGGAATTGCATATTTTAAAAAATTTACCCCATGTCCTACATATCCTATTTTAAGAAAGGCCTTTGTAAAATAGATGCCATTTTAACTGTTTTCAAAGTTAACTTTCTGAATGTACATTATTTTAGGCTTTCAGATTGAATGTGGCAGATTAAATATATGCATTTATCTCCACTCCATCCACTAACCCCACTAAATGCCAGTGAAGGAACAAAAGAGGTATAAATTCATAGTGACAAAAATAGGCAAGCAGATAGCAGCACCCAGGTGGTGACAAGGCCATTTTGATGATAAGAACCCCGGAAAGGCCCAGGAATTCCGGTGGTGTGCTACCTCTGAAGGCTGTGAGAAAAACACTCACTGGTCCAAACTCAGTAAGTGGACACGGAGACAAAGAGAAGAGCGGAGCAAGGCTTTAATGGCGCTGTACCAAAATCGGGTGTCTGGTGAGCAGGCACCCTCAGGGCGCCTACAACAAGCAATGTATTCCTTAGAATGCGCGTCCCTCCCCTGGCTCCCCATTGGCCGAGTACTACAGGTTCACCTTCTTGCCTGAATGTCCGCCTAAGCAAGTTGTTTCTATATTAGGCTTTTTTTTTTTTCCACAGTTGTCTTAATTCTATTGGCTGGTTTAAAACTTTTTCTGCATTTTTCCTGAAGTGATGTACAGCCGGCTCTTTCTTAAGCTTCCTCCCCTTCCCAGCTGGAGTGACTCCCTGGTACATGTTCTGACTTGTAGGCTTCTTGTTAATACCCTTTTGTTTAAACGTTAATTCCTCTGGGAATAAATCACATTTAGTTTTATGCCATTTCTAACAGGCCGAGGAAAAACTGGTATCAGAGTAGGCAACTAGAAGTCTCTACCACACTTGTATAAACATTATTATGGGATATAGAAGCAAATAAATGAAAGTGCTAAAAGCTTAAAATGACTGATCCTGGGAGGTGGGAATTGGTGGTGGAGTAGAGCAAGTATAAAGAAAATGGAAATTTATGGCCAGGATTCTTGCCAGACTTTAATATCACCCACTGTGTACATGAAAAGCCTGTTTGCGTACCTATGGGCAGCAGCATGTTTACCTGCGGCTAGAGCCTCAGGTCAGTCATAGGCGTAGCAGCCCAGCGAAGGAGTGGAGAAGAAACATACCAGCGCCTGGATGTAATTGGTCGGGCGTCCGCCAGTCACCAGAGACCCATCCACAGAGTTCTTCCCTGGCGCTAGAGGCGGGGAAGGAGAGAGCAGTGTGAGTGGAGAGGCCCAGAGCTTAGTGGGGCAGAGGGGAAGCAGGAGAGAGAAACCTGGAGCCCCAGTGCTAGGGGAGAAAGCCCCACGCTGGGGAGCAGAAGGGTGCTGCGCGGCAGCCAGCTGTCTGTGCCCGCTGTGAGAATAAACATGGTATGAGTCCCTTTTAACCCCCAACTTGCCCTTGTCTTTATTCGGTCTCACCAAATTTATAGTGAACTTTCCCCAGTGGGGAACCCGCTCCTCCCGGAGCAGTAGCAAGTCAAGGGTCTACCGTTCTGAAAGCCTTGTGTCATTTGACTTCTAAAATTAAGTATATGCATTATTTAGATTAAAAAAAGAAAAAAAATTTTAAGTTACTTTTGACAAGGGTATGTGGGTGTGGGTAAAATTGTAGTATTTCCAGACTATCTTGCCCGACTTTAGTGCATCCTCAGGGGTGGAGAGAAGTATGGCTTTAGTGCATCTACATATTAATAGACGTGACTCAGGGGTGGAGAGTTTATCTCCGTATCAGTGGGTAATTACCTGGGCGACTGGAGGGCTTATCTGAACCTGAGAGGTTAAGGGGAGGGTGGTTGGCTTCTGCTAGAGCAGGAAAAAGACAGCTGCGGACTGCAGATTGTAAGCAGTAAGTGGATTTTAAACTTTACTTCTCCCTTTGACTGATTTCGGTTTTAGAATTTCCTTTCCCTGGACTTAAGGGGGGTATGGGGAAAAAGATAGCAAGTACCATACACGGGAATGTAAAATTGTAAAATCTTTTCAAATGGCAATTGGGTAATAGGGATCAAAGTTTTAAATGTGCAGAACATTTAGTCCAGCATTTCCACTCTTGGAATTTATTCCAAGGAATTGGACAAGCACTGATTTGATTATGAAACAGAAAAAGTGGAAACTGCATGCCCGACACCAGAATCTTGATTTGAACAAGTGATAGCTAATCCATACAATGGAATTATGTGCGACTATTTTAATTGTTGGATTTCACATCCACCAGATGTCAAAAACGTAAAAAGTCTGAAAATAGCAGGAATTTAAACAAGAATGTTGACATACTGCTGGTAAAAGTGTACACTGGTACAGTCTTTTGGGGGAAAAGAAAAAATTGCATTACTTCAAAGTTGAATATGCATTTCCCTTTGACCAGCAATTACTCTTCTAGGGAGTATAAAATGATATAACTACTTATGATGAAAAGTACCATTACTTAGTAAAATGGAAGGTATATTCCATGTTTAACTAGGTGACATGTGCAAGAATGTCCATAATGTGTTAGTGGCCTCATGCTGCCACCCAAACCAAATGTCCATCAACACAGAATGGAAATAAAACTACATGATATCACAGTTAGAATAAATACCGTGCACAAACAGCTGCACAACATAATGTGAATCAACCTTGAACCTCATAATAATGTCAAGCAAAAAAAAGCAAGACCTGAAAGAACAGAATGACTTCTACATAAGCTTAAAACAGGCAAAACGAAACTACGCAAACAATAAAAGAGGTGACTACCATGGAAGACAGCTGGAAAGAGAGAAACGGCTTCAGTATTTAAGAGAAAAAAAGGAAAAGGAAGAGAAAGTCACAATTACCAAAAAGCGGCTAACTAGAAGATTTCCCATTACACATTAGGGTTAGCCCTCTATCCACAGGGACTCAGAAAGCTTCAGATAAGACTTGAGCTTGTCTCAGTGGAAATCTTTAGTGAAAGATGAAAGATTTGTATGATTTGATGGGAAACGTAAGTGGAGCATCTCTTGGAGAGACAAGTGCCAGGGAACTGCCACTCTGGGTACACTTTGTTGCTCTGCCACATACACACACACACACACACATACACACTCATCCATGCACAAGATGACAAGATGTCGCATATTCACCTTTTATATGTCCTACTCCAGACCTAGAATCATGCATTTTTGAAGGAACAAAGTATTTATTCTTCAAGAATTTTCTTGTCTATTTTTTGCTCTTTGCTTACTGTATTCAGGATAGAGAATAAGTTTTGAAGAAGAGTCAATGACACAAAGAGTTGATGAGGCAAAGCTCTTGATAAAAGAATTTCAGCTAATAAATACAAAAAGTACCATTTCTAAAGGCAAAATAAGGTAAGGATCTAGTCAACAATCACCAACGATGCTAAAACCATTAGGAGAAAGATGGATGAGAAACTTTATAATTAACTTAAAACAAAACATAAAACTCTTAATATCTTGAATGAGGTATTAGAAAGTATTGCATCCATTAAAAAAACAGCATGCTTTAGGAAAAGAAGATTCAAGGAATAACAAATAGGTCTAGAGAATTAAAATACAACAGCAGAGGTTAAAGTTTCATCAGACGTATTAGAGAATGAAGTTGAGACCATCTTCTGGAAAGGAGAACAAAACAGGACATAGAAAAATAGGAGAGAAAAGTCAAAATTAGGGTATCATTCCAGAATATACAACAGCTAGCTAAAGGAAGTCCAAAAAAATAAAATACAGAGAGAACATTATGAAATAATTAAATATATAAATATGAGTAGTATTTCTATACATTGGCAATGAAAAATCTGAAAATAAAATTTAAAAAGCAATTTTATTTAGAATAGCACCCAAAAAGAAAAAATACATATAAGTAATCTAAACAAGAAAGTGTAAGACTTGTATACTGAAAACTACAAAATATTTTTGAAAAAAACTAAAGAAGACCCAAACAAATAGAAAGATATCTCATGTTTAAGGACTGAAAGACTTAACATTAAAATGGTAATACTCCCAAATAGATAGATCCAATAAAACTGCTATCAAAATTCCAACTTCCTATAGTTGTAGAAATGTTGGACAAGCTGATTCTAAAATTCATATGGAATCACAATGGATCCCAAATACCCAAAACAATCTTGAAAAATAAAAGAATAATGTTTGAGTGGTCACATGTCCCAATTTCAAAACTTACTGCAGACATACAATAATCAAAACAATTTGGTACTGGCATAAGG